AGTAGAAAAAAGTCAAAACTGATTTGATCTTGGAAGATTCTAATAGTAGTGCTTAAATAGTACCAAAGTGTCGTTTAGCACAAAAGAATGGGTTTACCCAGCCAAAGTTTTTTCCCACCTGAAAATTCTCATCCACTGGTCCACAATTGCTCATAGCCAATTCTTTCGTTTCTTTGCGAGTTGTACTCATAATATTATTCGGCCTACAAATGTAAAACTTTTGTAGAGAAGATGATTACAAAGAGGACAGCCAAGAAACGAAGAAAAGTAAAACGGAAGAGAAGACGTTCAGGTATGTTTTTCGTTTGCTAGTATTTCTTTATCTTTATTTCGCCATTGAGTTTTTCAGGAGTTATAAGCCGATATCAGAAGAAGTTGGGAAAGTAGCCCAGGACAAGATAAAACTTGACGTCGTTGAAGAGCTCATTGCAACCCATTTGGAGGTAACTGATAGTCCTTTTCGAATTTTTTTTCAGGTATAACGCTTTGCAGTTACCCTTCTTGGTAGCAACGAATTTTTCAGGAATCAAGAAACGTGAAACCAGTAGAAACGGTCGATTTGTCAACGTTAGCACCGAAGAAAGTTGACTGGGATTTGAAAAGAGATATCGAGAAGAAACTGCAGGTCAGTCCTGGTTTTATCCCTAATGCATTCAAAGTTGTATCAGATAGAGAGGGCGCCACCTTAGGATGCATACCAGTTCTCATCAAAACGCATCCTTGAGTTTCCTTCAGTGAGTAGCATTCAGGAGTAGAGGGTATGGTGAAGCAGGGGGATAACACCCAGAGCACGCCATCGCGTTGTGATCATTTTCTGAAAAATACGACTCCCCCTAATTCTATCCTCAAATACGACCCCCTCCCCATGCTACCTACCACTTTCCTAGATTTCCCAACTTCCTACCACTTTTTCCATTATTTCCTGAAAAATTTCCAGCTTCTCAGCCAAGAATTTTCCGCGGGGAAAGGGGGACTTGACTGGCAAGGGGGGTACATACTCCATGTGAAACAGGAAAATTTTTCAGAATTTCCCCACAGTTTTACCAAATTTTTCGAAAAATTTCTGGTTTTTCCCCAAAATTTCGCTGTCGGAGGAGGGGGGAAGCCGTCAGGATTTACCTGAGGAAGCCCTCAGGATGTAACTATCATTTTCAACTATCGGAAATAGTAGTTGCATAGATCTTTGGCTTCTCAACAACGACCAAGTGCAACGAATCAAGTACGCCCTCCCTCCCTCTGCGTCAAATACGACCCCACCCCACCCCCGTATGTGATCATATCCAACGGACTTGGTGCGGGCTGGTAGCACACCACACCCCGCCCGCCACACATTACCTCTACTCCTAAACGCTGTGGACCTGCTATGCGATCGCTAGACCCAATATCTGTATCTTGCCTAGTCCGCTGATGCTGATGACGCTTCGAAAGCTGGCAGCTGGTGGGTGCTGACCGCAAAGTATGAACGCAGCTCCAGGGTTTGCCTTGTTCTCTGGAAGATTGTTGAGTCTGGGTAGAGGGGTAAAAAAGTATCAAGCAAGAATAGTATCGCGCTTCAGGCATCTAAGTTGGACGACTTTTTTTGTGGGTAATAAAATCGCGATTGGTTTCTGCCCGCACAACTCGACGTCAATTTGAATCGCCTTTTTTTTACATGCACAACCCATAGAGAATCTTCGCATTAAGATTTGGTAGGCCCTTAATTTCAGTCTGTATCTACCTGTTATCGTATGTTTTTGTTTCATTTCCTTTCCCAAGGTACTTACCACCTTCTCAGTCAGACTTGCACTTCCTATTTAGAAACTCGAGAGAAGAACTCAGAAGTGCATTGCTGAAATGATTCGACAACGATTAGCTGAAGGCAAAGGAGATTTAGCGAGTACTGTCAATGCGGGTGTTTTAGGGTTCGTTGATTTGTTAATATATATTTTTTGTGATGAATCTCTCCTGAGCCGTTGATAAGGTTCAAATAATGAAGCCATTTACTTCTTTTGGTTAACTTCTCGACATTTTCAGCTTCATAATGAAGACGTATTCGCCTTGGCAGAGGGGGGGGGAGGTGGAAACAGCTGAAAATCCTCGCTGTGAGGGAGTTTCACCCTTGATCACTTATCTCATCAATGTGAAGATAAAAGAACCTGTCGCCGTCAAAACAGGTCTTTTGCGGTGCATAATGCATAAGACCAGAAATAACCAAGCACCAGACCAGATCTGGATCGCGTTTCTGCGTTATAAGGCATGTTCAGAGATTCAATGATGACTCGTACTTCCCAGTTCAGCGACAAGGAGGGCCATTTGTTACTTTCGCCTTCTTCCGCATCGATGCGTCGACCTCCTGGAGAGCAATTTCATCGACGGAATTACAAGAGATTGGTAGGTTTTACCACGGCTTAGCCCTGATGCAGCTAGGCTTGCACAAGAGTCCACGCAAGTTTCATCAGAGATGGAGACTTGTAAACGCGGAACAACACTGAACAGCAAAAAACGCAAAATGCCCCCCGCGCCGAACTGCGCCCTACTCCTCTCTCGCCTCCTGGGAAATCGCGCCGAAAGCTCGGGAAATGGCATGGCAAGGATAAAAGCGCAAAAGCTTCTATTTGGAAATATGCCGGATATGTGGTGCTATGTGGCTAGCACAGGGAGGAGAGCACACAGTCCCTCTTTCCCCAATGGGAAGATCAGGGCGCTGTCAAGTTGAGTATAGACGCCGACGCAACCTCGTTTTATCTCTTTCCTTTTTTCTTCCACAACTCACAGGAACATTACTATAACTTGTATAATCTGCTTCGGTAGTGTGGTTGTTTACAGCCCGGCGTCGCCTTGATGATGGTCGCTGTCAGGCAAGGAGCATCGGGTTGGCGCAGCCCGCCAAGTCCCTTCAACTAAGTTCATAAGCACAAACAGGCAAAGGGCAAAACTTCTATTAGTCATCGTTCCTACCAACGTATATCCAGCAATCGTCGGCTTACCGCGCCCCTCCAACAGCTGGTGGAAAATAAAACTGGAAGACTGCCAAACTTAACTGAAGTGGCCACGCCCCCATCATCCGCACCAACGGAGCAGTATATGGAAGGTTGTAGGGACCTGCGTTTTCGGATGCGTTGGCGGACAACTCGTCCGGATTGGCGATTTTCCTGGTCTTCTATGCCATACATGTACTAGATCCTATCATGTGTTGCCTTGACGTTATTTGAACTACTGTCCTTAAGGCGATGCTTTGCAGAGGAAGGGGGTGGGGGGGGGGAACTCAGAGCTCAGAAAAACTGGAGAAGGCCTCCCCTCCCTAACACCACTTCCACCAGACGCTTGAACTTTGTTAGTTTTATTTTGTCACTTTACCATGATCTTGTTCTGTTAATTGTTGATCTTCATAAGAAAGCCGTTGTTCATTCCAAAAAATCAATAAATCAATAATTCATTGTCAATAATCTCAAATATGTCATACATATGAACATATCACACAGAGAGCAAAGTAATGTACATGTGGGAACGAGGCAACTTCGTCAACAAAGTGCCCCTCAAAGTCTTCCATGAAATCTCAGCAAATACTACATTAAAACATAGTTTTCCCGTGGGATTTGTGCCCTCTTTATCGTCGAGGGTTAGGGCCTTATTTTGACTTGGTTGTTTTCACCTGTTGATGAGATTATCGTTGGCGATATCTTCTCGAGTTTTCTCATGATATGGTATGTCCTCCTTTTCTATTCGCGGACGTTGTTGATCAGGAACTTGTACGTGTTGAACGGCCCCGTCCAATTGTTCTACAGTTGGCAAATCGCCAACTGGTATTGGCTCCGGGAAGGACTTGTCGCTTTCTCGTGTGTTCATCTCCATATTTGTCACCACCGCCAATGGATCAGGTTTCACACCGACTCTGGACTAAAAGGAAAAAGATGAGAGGCGCTTGGGCAGTTAGTAGGAGACCAGTGGGTTGTGCCAGGCCACGCCCATCCTCTGCTCATCTGCGCCCTCACTGTTCCCAGCATGTCGATGATAGGGCGTAGACTAGCAGAAAAGAGGCGTGCCAAATACCCCACCTTGCTGCAGTAGCCACAGAATGAAGTAGGTTAACTCGACTCCAAGCGCAATAAGACAAGTCAGGGTACAAAAAAAAACTGATTACCATTCAAGACAAAAAGCACTCCCTCTGTGTCCCTTCCGCTCGGTCTTTATTTCTCTGCACTCTGACTTGACCGACTGAAATCGAAGACCTGCATAAAAAAGCTGACGAACCGGCATCATAGTGGCATAGTTGGTGATAAATCGTCCGCCTTCTTGAATTTTGCACATTAAATCGCCAGCGAAATGTGCTCGAATCGCAAAATCGTCAATACCAACTACAGTCTCGAAGGTGGTGTTGAACCTAAAGAGCGTTCTCATGAAAGATGAACTCATCAGGAAGATAGCGAGCAAAGTGGCTCTTTTCATGAGAACGTACCTGGTATAGCTTTAGTTAGCGTTCAGACTACGCAATCGCGCGATTTAATCGCTTGCTCGTATTGAGCGACAGACGACGCACCGCCGCAACGACACAACTCAGACTGACACCCTGCAAACGCGGCCCAGTTTGAATTCTGCCGTTGCGGAGGCGCACCGCCTGGCGGGGTAGCGCCCCAGTCGAGCGATCGCGAAGTCTGAATGCTCTCTTGGAGATTAAATAAATGAATATAATGAACAAGTAAAGCAGTAGGTTCAGTTTTTTTGGCATGTGTGTCTACCAAGAGGCCACCCACGACATTGAACACCCAAAACACGGCAATTCTAGGGGTGTAGTGGGCCACTACAGTGCTGCAGGAGCGCAAAACGGAAAGGTAACGCGCGCCTGGATGAGAGCGGAAAAGAAAAAAGGAGCGACGCCAAAATTGATGGCCACGGACGCGGCGCGCCAAAAACTGCGCGGCATCACATGGTGACCTCCTGACCTCTATGGTATACGCTTTTCATCTTACCCCAACCCACGATTGCGGGGCAATTGAAAACGTATTGAGCTCATAAAACGATCAGTAAGGGGTGTATATGGTTATATTCTGAAGTGAGTTTGGTTCAAAAGATTTGGTTCTGGAGAGATTAGGGAGCAAACAGCCCCAGTGTTGTAATATAACTTCATAAAATCACACTTACACACGCTCGGAGTCACTTTGAATCCTGTTGGCGATCCTCTGAACGCTACATTCGTTGAAACGTTGCCCCATTCGAAGTTTACGGTAACTTTTGCGCATCAGCGATTCCAAAAACCGATTACAGCACATGAATCCTGGAGAGGAAAAATCTTGGACGACACAGAAGAAAACTGAGCGTGCGGCTGCGAGGCGGCAGTTCTTGGCTGCATATATTTGATGCCCTCGGCGTCATTATTCCGTGCGGCAGTTAATCAATGATTGGAGGCGCCGCTGGCAAAAATACACGCACCGCTACCGCTCGCGCAATATGCACAGCTTGCAGGCAGCTCTTGGTGCATGTGTGCTCAGTGTTCACCCATAAAAATACCGTGTCTTTGAGAACGCTGAAACAACACAGTGATGGGGCAGCTAATATGCATGCATGGTGGTGCACTGTGTGCACAGTTTTTTTCAAGCCGCGTCGCAACCGCGCGCGTCTCAGACGGACGACACCGTGCCTTTGAGAACGCTGAAACAACACAGTGATGGGCAGCTAATATGCATGCATGGTGGTGCACTGTGTGCACAAAGTTTTTCAAGCCGCGTCGCAACCGCGCGCGTCTTAGACAGACAATACGCGGCCGGGTTTTTTTGCGGCAGGTTTTTTTGCTAAAAATTTCTCCATTGAAGGTACTAATGATCAAAATCTGTGAAGTCCTCACCGTCGATATTCATATAGCAGTGACTGAATGGATACGGAGGTGGATCACGCTGAAGATTGATCAGATCATTCATAATCACGTCAGGGTCTTCCATGAGGTTGTCACTGGCCACGGTTCGTGAGAGAATGGAGGCTTTACGGTCACCTCCCTCTCCGCGCCATTTCTTCACGTCATATGGCGAGCTCCTTGGCAGTTTTACCGTTGGCTAAAAACAAAGGAGTCATGTGAAAATAGCACCGCCAGCAGAACATCTGAAAATTTTAGTAGAAATTTGAAGATCAACCAGCCGTGAGCTCCGTTGCCACGCGTTATGAACGGGATTTAGCGCGCCGGTGAGTGGTTCCCTATGAATCTCTGCCTGATGGTGCGGCGACCCCCCCTGCTACTCTTTCCCTCCGCCTGTCAGTGGCTTGAAAGCAGATTCGACGATTGTGGTACATGTGGATCCAAGCCTACCCTTGTGCTTATTGGCGGGATGCACTGTGCTGCTTCAGGAAGAAGGAGCGCACCAATGAGGAGAATGAAATACTAGCTCCCCATCCCGCCCACACCATAAACGTAGACTATGCCTTTTATTGGCTGGAATAAAGCCAAATGAAAAGGTGTTGGCACTGGTCCGCGTATAGGGGAGGGGGTAAGAAGAAGGACATCGTGAAAAATTCCTTGAAGTGTGACAGGTCCAATGTTATGAAGCCGCTTCCAAACTTCTGTGAATAGGAGAAATGCAGCAAATGGATCTCGGTACCTATCTTGAAAGGCAGTTCGCAAGTGCCCGTCCCCTTGTAACGGACTCACTCCCATTTGAGCGGTAAAGGAGACGGAAATGGACCAAATGTCAGGCCTCAGTAGCGTTCGCTGCGCTTGATGAGGCGTGTCAGTGCGGCTGCGTTTGGCGCGGCGCCAGCCCGTTTTCCACCAACTGTTGAAGCGGGTAAGCGGCAACAATCAGTGGAAAACTCTGACGAACGATCTGATAAGTTTTGTTGCTAGCCAAAAAATGGGTTGGTGCCGCGCCAGGTCCATCCCTTGACACGCCCCATCATCCCGTTGCGAAGCAGACTGTATCGTCATGAATGGCGTGGTAGTAGAAGGGGTAGCTAAATTTGATAGTTTGTCAAAGAACTCATGATTCAATGTGCTAACGAATTAAGAGTCTTCAGAATCTATTGATGAACGTTATCGAAACTTACCGGGCCCAAAGGCGTGGGTGGTCTAAAACCATGTCGTCGCTGCTTCATCCTTGTCTGATTTGATTCACCTGGTATTTGCCACATGGCCTGCTCCGCGATGACTGGTGAAGACTCCTGAACGAATCGTTGGGAATTTTTCTAGACTGTCTCAGCGGGAATCAAGCTTTCGAGCCCGAGGTCACACTAGAGGAATAAGCTGACAACTGAGGTAACTGACAACTGAGGTAATCTATAGCCAATTAATCATGCAGGAGGCAGAAGCCAACTAGTAAAGAGGATAATTAAGAGGAGGTCAATGTGGGCATCCACAATGGTCAGTCGGCACCACAAAAGGCGCTCAGAGCAAATTCACCGCTGATCATATGGCTCACCATTGCACCTTACACAAAATTGCGCCCCGTCCCTCATCGGTCCCAACTGCGTTCATACTTTGGTCATCGAGCATTCGTGGCACGATTTGGGATATCTCGCAACTCTGACCGAGCTTGCCCTACTGCTAATCATCGGACCACTGCGATTGCCCATTCAATCGAATTCAAAATGGAGCGCCCTTGGACTGTCGCAAGGTCCAGCGATTTGCAGCGGAGCTTTGCGGGTTACTGTCTCCGCCCATACAATCAGCGTAGACTATGCCCTTGAACAAGCCCAGAGAACACTGAAAAAAATCTTGTGAAATCTCTCACCACCATCGTTTGCGTCGGAACCGATCGAGTTATCTTGGGGAAGTTGTTTGAAATTAATGGAATCGAATCCGCTTGAACTAAGCTGATCCTGCAACGATATACTGGGTTACTGTACAACTTTTTCGTCACTTTTTTCTAGTTATGGAGCGATTATGACTGAATAATTCTTCAGAGATTCTGAGTGCGGATCATTTCAAAGACACTATGTTGAGGGCCATACTCACTATCTAGTCACGACGCTAAAGGAACGGAGTGGGGGGGGGAGGGGGCTAGGAGTAGTGAGACGTGGAGGGGGTGCAGGTGAAAATAGGCCACGTCCATTTTGTGCTTGCTTACGCCCTCACCGCCCTTAGCCAAACTCACTTGCACTATCTCCTTTGGAGGAGGGGGGGGGGTGCTAGTAGGGATAGCAGGGAGTAGGAATAGGTCACACCAATTCCCTACTTTTTTATGCAATCATGGCATCAGCCAAACCCAACAAACACTGTCTCTTTTGAAGGGCACAGACGAGTATGAAGTGGGCACGGTCTAATATCGCTGCTGAGGGCGCCCGTTCCTGCCCCCTTTTCTTCCACAAGTGTCTTTCACCAGAATGTGTCCAGGTAAACGGTGCAGTATTCAGCAGAGGCCGCAAAATCAGCAGGATTTCCTTGACCATGAGGTGGAGATTATAAAAGGTGTTAGTACGACCCCCCCCCTCCCCAACTCTTCCCCATTCCCTCTTCCAGTACCGGCCCCTTTCAGGACCCACCTATTACCACTTTGCCAGATCCATCCAAATTCCCCAAATTTTCTAAAGAGTTCACCAAATTCACTCAAAGAAAAAATCGAGTCGAGGTGGGGGGGGGGGGGTATGCGCGAAACGAAAAAAAGCAACAGCCGGTACAAGTTTTTTGGCAGACTGGTAAAATGCTTTTGAGTCCCTTGGTGGCATCAGGTCCTGGTGTGGATGCCGCGCACGCAAAGTCACTTTACGTCGTGTACCCGCAAAATGGATTTCTTGCCCCACAGCCCCTCCCAGCCCATAACTGTGTACCCATGAAAGAGGGCGGAATGGCTCTGAAACATGTATAACTCACCTAGCCACAGGTGTTCGGTTCTTCTTGTAAAGTATGCCGTCTTTCACCAAGTACTTCAATGGATTCTCGCCATCAGCTGACATTCGCTCGGCCTCCTCAGCTTCAATCTTGGCGCCCAAGTTTTCAATAAACCCAACCGGGCTCGCGTGACTCATACCTTCCTGAAAAATATGTGAGTAGGGAAAATGCTGATTTCAAAGGAACATCAGGACCTTCTCAAAGGTTTTGTGTAAATGAGTAAGACCCTCTGGCTGGAGTGACTCTGCTCACTTCTAGCGTGAATGGCTTGAATTTTTTCCAGTTCGTTTTCTTTTCTTTCCTTTGGAACGCCAGAGATTTAGAAATGTGTGTGCGGGAGATAAGACCAACTGAGAAATTTCTGCTCAATGTTGGGGAGTATAAACGAATTTTAGGCTCCACCTACAGTATCAAAATGGAAAATATCTGCATCGAAATTCGCTGCTGTTCGGCCTAGGGGGGGGGAACCAAATGGTACTCAGCAGGGCTGTACAAGCCACCCTGTGAAATCCCGTGAAATCCTGTAACTAATGTAGCTCATTTGTACCATTTCGCTCAGGGGAATTTACAGGCCACACCAGGGGATTATTTGTTGCCCTCCAAGCCGAACTGCGCCTGTTATTCAGCATGACTTAGTAAAAAGAATTACAGTTGAAATGCGATCAATAAACAGGATGCCGCCGTGAAATTCGGGATTCATTTCCGATTCCTGCAGGATACGCCGCACACTGGCCCTTTAATGAAGAATCG